AGAACAAGAAAGGCTATTCATTTAGAGCTTGCTCTAGCAAGGGAGTCAGCCAACACCACCTGTGTTTGGAGGAGACTCAAAGGCAAGCAGAGAATTGGGAAAGCTTTATAACGGATAAAAAGGGAAGGTTTCAGTTGTGCCCTGATTGGAGGCTGCCAGCATGGGGAAGCTGTTGGTGGGCTAACTAGAAGCAGACATCCTATATGACTGGTTAGGGGTGCATATCTGGCTGTTTCTGTTTGGTCCTAAGTTGGAATTGGGGTCAAAAATTAGGGAAGCCATCAGCTATTAATCAAGTCCTGGCCATTTGGGGCCTATTGTTACAAGGTTACTGTTTGGCTTCCTGGATTGTTACTAGAAATAGTAGTCTGACTTCCTATAAGACTGACTGACAGCGGGCAGGTTTCCTGGGATGGCGACTGTACATTAATCAGTTGGTTTTCTGGACTGGTTGCTGCAGGTTGTGGGTCAAAGTTCTATTATATACATTACCTGACCATTGTCTATTTGTATATTCAGTCTCTCAACCCTTAGATGTGAGTCTGTACAAAAGATAGTTCGTCGAAATAATTACCAACATTGACACTCAGAGCCCTGGAGAGGGACTGGGGCTGGCTTGCACACTGCATCCAATATCTCAAGATGCCTAATGGAAATGATACATTCACCTATGAAATGTACACACAGCCTAATAAAAGCGTCAACCATCTCTTACAAAAAAGTAAGATCATCAAGTTGCTTTTCCTGTTTACTGATTTACTTTCATACTATGATTAATAAATTACAGAAAAAATGATTTAATAAATAAATCATTGGTAGATCAAAGTTTTCAAAACCCAGGATACAGCAGAGGAAAAAGTTATCAAAGAGGTTTTTGGTAAAGAATCCTTGCAAATACTTCTTGCTCTAAAATCCAAACATCTTCCCCTCTATGGACTGACCCCGAGGTCTCTGGTAGAACTGGAGCCCGAGTCAGGTGAATCACGGGTCTAACCATGTTCTCGAGTAACACCAGCCCGAGCCCAGTGCCCGCTTCTGCCTGCCTGATCCAGCCCTCCCTAGGAGCTCAGATACAAGTAAGCGAAACACTCATGATTAGAACTTGAGTGGATGGAAAATAATCTGTGTCAAAGAGCCAAGTGTCAAGTTTCCATGAACCCTATTGTTTCTGACTATTAGGATAAGACACTCAATGGCTATTGACTGAAGAGATACAGGCACCAAGACTGGATAATTTCAAAGGGGAAAAAAAGCCTAATTCTGTTCTCTCTGTTAATAGATACCTGATGGGAAGCGTGACTCCAGTGTAGCTACAGGATTCTGAGATGACATGAAAGCTGGCTTAGACCGACTCTCCCGTGGCTTCTTAAGTTCTTTTGACAGCAATGTACCTAAGAATGCACCTGTCCCCCTTCCTCACTCCCACCGCCTGCATCTGGTACAATCCATTCAAGCCCAAAGACCCCGTTCGAATACCAGCTCTTCAGGAACACTGTCCCTGACTGGATTGCCCTGGCGTGACTCACTTGCCCTTTGTCTCCATGGGACTTTGTGCAGAATGTTAATAAACACCTGCACTGTGGCATTATCGCTATTTTTTATACAACGTTAATCTCCCTCACTATACTATGAGTTTCTTTAAGGCAAGTCTGGGTCTTATTTATCTGTTTCCTCAGTGCCCGGCATGTAACAGTGCACCTTATTTCCTATCATTTCATTTCATATTGACAAAAGCGCATTGAGGGAAATATGATTATTATAGCCTTATTGAGGAAACTGAGAGAGAGCAATTATTTGCCCAAGATCATAATGCTAAGAGCTGACAGAACTAGACTCAGTCCCACTTCTCAGCAGCTTGCAAAGTTTTCCTGACATCTTTTGCCTCCAATAAGCTCTAAATGCTGCTTCACCAAGGCAGTAAAGAAAACTCCACTTCTCTGAAAAGATAAACAAAATAGACAAACCTTTAGCTAGACTCACCAAGAAAAAAAGAGAGAAGGCTCAAATAAATAACATCAAAAATGAAAGAGGAAAAATTACAACAGACACCTAAAAAATACAAAAGACTATGAGAGACTACTACGAAAAGCTATACATCAACAAATTGGATAATCTAGAAGAAATGGATAAATTCTTAGAATCATACAACCTTCCAAAACTGAATCAAGAAGAAGTAGAGAATTTGAATAGAACAATCACCAGCGAGGAGGTCGAAACAGTAATCAAAAACCACCAAAAATATAAAAGTCCAGGACCAGATGGCTTCCCTGGTGAATTCTACCAAACATTCAAAGAAGACTTAATATCTATCCTTCTCAAACTCTTCTAAAAAACTGAAGAGGAGGGAGAGCTTCCTAACTCATTCTATGAGGCCAACATTACCCTGATACTAAAACCAGACAAGGACAACACATGCAAAAGAAATTACAGGCCAATATCACTGATGCACAAAAATCCTCAACAAAATACTAGCAAATCACATACAATACATTAAAAAGATTAAACACCATGATCAGGTGAGATTTATTCCAGGGATGCAGGGATGGTTCAACATGCGCAAATCAATCAACGTGATACACCACATTAACAAAATGAGGAATAAAAACCACATGATCATCTCAATAGAAGCAGAGAAAGCATTTGACAAGACACAGCATCCATTTATGATAAAACTCTGAATAAAATGGGCATAGAAGGAAAGTACCTCAACATAATGAAGCCCATATATGACAAACCCACAGCTAACATCATACGCAATGGAGAAAAACTGAAAGCTATCCCTCTAGGAACAGGAACCAGACAAGGATGTCCACTTTCACCACTCTTATTTTACATAGTATTGGAAGTCCTAGCCAGAGCAATCAGGCAAGAAAAAGAAATAAAAAGGATCCAAGTTGGAAAGGAAGAAGTGAAACTGTCACTATTCGCCGATGACGTGATTTTATATATAGAAAACTCTACAGAAGCCACCAAAAAACATTTATAAATAATAACTGAATATAGTGAAGTTGCAGGATACAAAATCAACATACAAAAATCAGTTGTGTTTCCATACACTAACAACGAAGTAGCAGAAAGAGAAATTAAGAATACGATCCCATTTACAATTGCAACAAAAAGAATAAAATACCTAGGAATAAATTTAACCAAAGAAGTCAAAGACCTGTACACTGAAAACTATAAAACACTGTTGAAAGAAATTGAAACAGACACAAAGAAATGGAAAGATATACCATGCTCATGGACTGGAAGAATTAACATGGTTTAAATGTCCATACTTTCTAAAGCAATCTACAGATTCAGTGCAATCCCTAGCAAAGTTCCAATGACATTTTTCACAGAAATAGAACAAAGAATCCTAAAATTTATATGGAACAACAAAAGACCCTGAATAGCCAAATTAAAATAGAAATACCATATGATCCAGCTACCCCACTACTAAGCATTTATCCAAAGAACATGAAAACATGAATGCATAAAGATATATGCACCCCTATGTTTATTGTGGCATCATTCACCATAAAAGCCAAGACATGGGGGCAACCTAGGTGCTCATCAAGGGACGAATGGATAAAGAAGATGTGGTATATATATATGCAATGGAATACTACTCTGCCATAAAAAAAGATGAAATCTTACCATTTGTAACAATATGAACTGACCTTGAGGGTATTATGCTAAGTGAAATAAGTCAGAGGAAGAAAGTCAAACACCGTATGATTTCACTCATAAATAGAAGATGAAAACAACCATAAACAATCACATACAGACAGAGATTGGATTGGTGGTTACCAGAGGGGAAGGAGGGGAGCAGGAAGGCAAAAGGAGTGACTAGGCACATGTGTATGGTGATGGATGGTAATTAGTCTTTGGGTGGTGAACATGATGTAATCTATGCAGAAATTGAAATATAATGATGTACACCTGAAATTTATATAATGTTATAAACCAATGTTAGCCCAATAAAAAAATTTTTAAAGAGGAAAACTCCACAGTGTTCCAGATTAGTCCGTGTATTAACAGCTTATTTTGGGATGCTAAAAGGCATGCTTAGAAGTCATTAACACCAGCCCTGATGCTCACTACCTTTGGTCATATGCTGTTCTCTTGTTCTTTTTCTCCTGTGAAGAATACACAAGTACAGTTTTTGTCAAGTTTCTTCACTGATCACATATTCATTTTTAATAAGAAAAGAAGACCGACATCTATATGGCAGCAGAAGGAAAACAGGATCATAAGCACAAGTGATAGCTGGGATATAAATTCTATGCCTGCAGCCTCCTCAGAACTCAAAAGCCGAGGAAATTCGGTATATAATCCACAGGGTTTACCATGGAGGGCCTCTGCAATGGATGGATATGAATATTCCACTCATTATGAAAAGCAACTCCTGCTGGGAGGAAGGAATATTTATTTCATCAGTCTTTGCCTTGGCCTGGCTGAAGTAAACCCTTTGCTCTGACTTTACACCCTGAAAGCAACTTTCTAATTGCCATTTTTCTTCCAAGTATATGGTCCCTGAGGGAGAGGGGGTGCTGATCAAAAACCTTGAGTATTTTTATTTGCAAGACGTGCACAGTCTTCATTATAAATTAAAGAATTGGCATTCTGTTTTACACACCAAATGAAAAATAAAATATGTAAAAAGCAAAGTATCTGATATTTCTGACAGGTCTGCCCTCAGGTCATGTCTTCTCTGTCTGCTGATGGCTCCTGTCTCCCCTCACCCAGCCTCTCTCTGTCGCAGCACCTCTGTACATTCTTTCTCTGTGTGGTCCCAATGCAATAGCAGCAAAAATCTTCCAACTCTAGACTGGCAAGTTCTGGCAGGAAAAAGAAAAACTTGCTCCCATGTAATATTTTCTGTAATATTTGATGAGAACTATTTCTATTTACTTAGCTTTCCCACTAAACTGGACATGACTACAATTCCTAGACCCGCAAAGTAATTAGCAAACAGAACAAATCCTCCAAGAATATCACATGGTGCAGATACTCACATTTTCTGACCGGAGCCTCTTGGCAGGACACCCACCGTCCCTTGGGTGAAGCATGTAATACAATCGGACTTTGCTTGCATGTTTTCGACTCTGGGAAGGAAAAGCAGAAGAAGATACTGTGAAAGAGAAGGCATTTTAAATCCTTGGAAACATCACCACTGCAAATGCCAAGAAGTAATTGCATTAGAAAACATGTTCCCATGCTCCTGTGAGTTACATGGGATGAAGTTTCAGATGGGTTAAGTGACTTGCCCAAGGTCATAAAGCCAATATAATTTCAGGATTAGAGAACACAGTTAATGAAAAAAGGTAAAAACACAGAGATCTTTTAACCTGGGGTGAATAATATATTTAACTGTCTTCAAAAGTAAGAACAGGTCAGCAAAGGGAATAATATAAGGATCATCTGTGATGAAAAGCCAGGTCCCCTACCTGCTCTCTCGCTCCCGACGTCCTGCCGTGAGGAGGTGGGGACACCCCCCTGGGAGCTGGCACACACAGCTCCTCCAACAGAAGTCTTTTCTGCTGGTTCTCCCAGTCCTTAGCCTCCTAATAAGCTATTGAAAGGGATTTTCCAAGGTCAGATATCAAGAGCAAACAAAAGATATTGTATCCAAGTCGGAGGGCTAACCAGAGCCCAAGCTACATGCAAGCAGACATACGAAGTTCAACTAATAAAAACCTACCTCCTGCAGGTTTAGCAAGGCCACGGATTTCTGCCTGTACTGACGGGTCCATGACCGGCGTGGAGAAATTGATCCCTTCCTACTTCCGTCTTTCCTCCACTCCTTTGCTCAACTGACAGCCCACCTGAACTCCCCTCACCCTTAATGAATGTTGACTTCCAAGACGCTAACTGAGGCAGGATGGTGGAGTGAAAAGAGCACTATAATACAACAGTCAGAAGTTCTGCACCTCAGTTCCGGCCTTACCACTCTCTAGCGTGTGACACCGAACAAGTCACTTACTCTAATTTGGGTTTATTTTACCCAAAATGAGTCTCATATTCCCCACGTACAAAATGAATATAATAATATTTATTAGGGCTGCCATGAGAATCAAATGAGACATTGCCTGTGAAAAATTGCAATCCACATAATGGAAACATTTCTTACTACTGACTACGCCAGTCCCTAACTTTGGTTGTACTGTGGTTTCTATAGTGTGAATTCTCCTTGAACCCACTGCTACCTAATTCCAGTCTCCTATCCCCTTCCGTTACTCAGAGACTATTTCTTTCTTTTCCAGGCCTTGGTTCCACTTTGCCTTTATTTCCAGCTGGGTTCTAGCTGATGGTTTGCCTTCATGGATTAGCCACAAAGGCAAAGCGATTTTCAGAGCACATGCAGCAAATTGCATCTTGTTTACAGGATGTATTATAAATCCCTTCCATCTGGTTTTCCTCATTTATCACTTTTTTGATTCCTTTATTGTGCCTAGAGCAAGAAGACTGTGCTTCTAATCAGTCCCTGAACACTTTTAAGGCCTTTAACATAGGTTTAAAAGTACTAATGGAACATGAAAAATATTACAGATGTCTAAAAGTACTAAAGTATGATTTTGAAATATATTTGTAGCCATTTCGAGGTTGCATAGTGAGTTTCAATCAAGGTTATCTGGACTCTTGTTTGCCTGAAAGATTGGGAGGACAGAGAAATAGAGACTGATCTGGACCTACGTCAGATGATTGCAACATCATTCTTCAGCTTCTGCGTGTCTTTGAGAATGATGCAGTGCAGACTAGCATTTTCCTTCTGCAGATAAATACGTTGATTACTAATATCTGTATACATTTTCTACAGTTTTGTTGGTTTTTTGGAGGTAAGGGGTAGCGGTAATATTAGGAATACTGCTACAGTCAAAAAAAAATAAAAAAGAACATTTAAAAACCTGCAAGACACTGAACGTGGCCCCAGAGCCTGGGCTGGTGCAAAGCACACCAGACAGGTAATTGGTGAAAAGATGAAGTGCTAACAGTGTGAGCTCAAATCTGGCTGAGGTGGGTTTTCAGTTTTGCATTTGTTACCATAGAAGAACTTCTTATCACAGTTCCTGCGTCATCAATCTACTCAAATCCCTGGATTCCCAGAGAAAAAAACGTGGCAAAATTGGAAATATCATTAGTGATGAGAGATGTTGGGATTTGAGGCTTATTAGCAATTTTGTTCATTAAACGCCTGTTTTCTTCCTTCAGCTTCCCCAGCCTCCAGGTTTGATGCAAGGACTGACTACAGTACAGCTGCCTCCGTTGCCCTTGTGAATGGGTGAAGAGAAACAGAGCTTTGGCCAACACCGCCTGATTCAGGAATGATGGTGGAGGCATTCTCATTCATCATTTAGCTGTGTCCCTTTTGCCTGGTCATCTCTCTTGCTTCCCCTTGCTTTTTCCAGGCTGCCTAGGCTGGATCCAGTGCCTTCCCCGCCCACAAGCCAACCCTGACTTTGGGCAGGAAATAAAAACCCCAAAGACAGTCCACTTCTCAGTGAGAGGAGTGTGGGGTCACCCTCCCAGTTAATTTGATTCAAACCCCAAATCACTTCCAAATGATGTTGGTTGACACAGGAAAAGAGGTTCCTAGCAGAATGTTCATGGGTGCCCCACAGCTGGCCTGCCTCCACTCTGGGCCTTCAGCGTTAGGGTGGAGCTCTGCTGGTGACTCCTGCCCTATCTTCCTGACATGCTCACTTCCTTCTTAAGATGGGACACGGAGTCTCCTACACGGTCTTCCTCCCACTGGCTGCTCTCAACCCCTTAACTACCCCAAATTGCTTGAAATTGGCACAGTAATCTCACTCCTTTCAATTTATTCTAAAAACAAAAACAAAAACATCCTTCCCTACAAAAAGTTAAAATTACTTTTAAGCAAAGATATTAATTGCAGCATTATCTAAACAGGAACAAAAAAATTGGGAGACAACTACATACTGAAAATAAGAGAGTGGTTAAAGCAGCCACAGAATGCCCTATGTCAGTCAGAAACTGAAAGAAAAATTCTTTCTCCATGATGAATATGGAATAAAAAATGCTGAACTCAAAATTGTTTGTATACTGTGATTAAATTATATAAATATTTATAAGTATATCAATCATAAGTGAAAAAGAAAAAGAAAAAAAGTATGATTTATTAGTGTAGAGAGAGTATGGATGGTTTTCATTTTTTATTTCCGTAACAAATTTGCCTTTAACGTAAAAATAATAACTTCCCAATGCTCAAGCGATTGTAATTCCTCATTAAGTGTACTTTTTACTCACAATGATTGTAATTAGCAAAAATCATAAATGTTCTGGAATGCTTTTAACATATACTGGTATAATTGATCACATTTCCATCTCTTTTTTAATGTGTTATCAACATTCAAAGTGCAAATTTTTTTCATTGCAATAGTTGGTAATTAGATGAGCCTCCTTAACCCAAGAGCAATACATGTTACTTCAAATTTTAAAACTTCATTTTGGTACATACAAAAGCCATGGTAAATATGTGTGCTTTTCACAGTGCAGTCACTTGCTCTTCCTATGTACGAACAGAGATGATGGGGCCGGGTGGTAAATGCCGTCCACACAACCAAAATGAGAAGACCTGGAAGAAAGCTACTTCTGAAACTGGCTTATGTCGTCCAAATAAACATGAGCAACAACAAACCCTTATGACTTTTCCAAAGCCTTATTAATACCTAAAACTTGCACTGCTTTTAGCAGTTTCAAAAGACTGCTAACTGAAAAGAACTTTAAGGAGAAAAAAAATGCCTTACATGTTAAATGTATATATGACAGAGTTTCAGGAGGAAAGAGGACCACTACTCTAAGAGAAACGACGTGAAAAAGAAATTACAATCTCTTTCAATTGCACCGAAAGTCAATCCCAGGCTCTTTCTTGCATTAATATCTGCATTTTAAGCAAAAGTCATTACTTTCATTCAAACCACATCAACTTTAAGCTTCCCAGATAGGCCAGAAATTACCAATTCTTCCATTTTAATTAAAGCCTTTGCCCCGGATGCTGCGCCCCGTGCCAGGGCAGACCTATCTGCAGATTGCTTTCTTTTGCTGAAACAATCTCTTGGCACTCAAAGAAATAGTCTAAAGTGCAAAATCAGGCCAGCCTTCTCTTTGGAGGGATAAAGAACAAGACAAACCTCTATTTTGAGATGTATTGCTGTGAAAGAAGGGGGCGAAACACATAGAAATAGAATGGCTTTGTGCTTCACCTAAATAGCCATCTTCCATTATCACATATTCCTTTAAAAACTTCACAACCCAAATTTGCTTCCAACAAGGCTACTGACTTCTGGTCTCATAAAATGTGGAGATAACAAAGCAACCGTGTATTTGCATAATGTTCCAAACAGCCGTCCAAGTCCTTCCACGTGTAGCATCTCGTTCTATCCTCGCATCACAGTTGTGAGGCTGTCAGGAGAGGTGTTATTTCAAATAAGCCTTCAGACCCATTCCTGGTCTCCTCGTTAAGTCTTCACCTCTTATTTTATCATAGGTATCTAATTATACCTCTTCCAGAAACCAGCTAAAATAGGCCGAGGACTATGAGAAAAAGGGAAAACCTGGAACAGACTGATAATTACAGAACAGTGATTCTCACATGCCACCAATTTTGAGGTATTTCTACTTGTTCTAGGGTAAAGAGGAGCCAACTAAGGGAAGGACAACAAATACTGAAGGTCTCACTCCCTGGCTCCCGAGGATGACTGGCTGATGTGAGATGGGGGCTCCATCTCGCAGGAAGAAGGAGAAGGCATCCTGGCAAAACCCTCCTTAACACTCAGAGGCTGAGGGCCCCAGGGCTGAGCCCTGGGAAAGCTGGAGCACAGCTTCACTAGGAAGTCAAGGTTATGTACAGATAAACCAAAGAGAAAAACTGAGAGTTGCAGATCGCCTCTGATAAGTGGGCTCTTTCCCAGAGTGATGCACCTTTCCTGATTAACCACAGGGAGGAGGTTGGATACAGAACCTTCTGGTACCTAGAGCAGAAGATGGGCCCAGTAAAAATCTAGGAAGAGAAAACTGGCCCTTAGAAGGAAGAAATAAAACTTGTCTGCTGGAACTGCCCAATGCCTAGGGTCCAGACCTCCTA